TAAATTGATATATATATTTCTTTCGCCAAATTCTTTCGCAAATGATAAATTTTAATCGCCACAATTATTATTTTTTCGCAAAATGCAAAAATGGTGACCGCCAGCGGAAACCCTGCCAGTTTGAAAGTCATGCACACAAGTTCGAAAGTCGTGCGTACGAGTTTTTAAACTGGTGCGTGCAAGATTTAATATTCGGCAAACAAACATATTTATATTTACATGACAATTAAGGGGCTCCTTAATTATGCTTTACTATACTGGCTGTATTATCAACTACATACCGGTAATCTTTTTTTGGCTAGCGTATTTGTTTGATTCGATTGTACGTGTGTTTGTTCGGTGTGAGCCAAGGCTCCATGTTGAAGGCTGTACTTTGACCTATAATGGTTTACTTTTACAAATTGTGACTTAGATGGAAAGTTGTCTCATTGGCACTCATACCACATCTTCTGATATCTATTGAACTTTAAATTAAGCTGTGTTGTATGTCTGTGATGTATGCTACTGGATGCCAGATATGACCACGTAAACCAATTAATTCTGTTAGTGTTGCTCCCCTAATTTGGCAATATTACGGAACATTAAACAACTGTCATACAAGTGGGCGTATAAGCAAGCAAGAAAACCAGATTTAACCCACCATTTGCTTATGAAAATGCCTGAGCCAAGTCAGGAATATGACAGTTGTTTTTTCTGCTCTTTTGTTTTAAACAATGTTTTTCCCCAATTTTTACAAAAATCAGCAAGGATCTTCGTTTTACAGATATGACTATGCATAAAAATTAATGGGCATCAGATGAGACAATCTTAACCTTATTCACAAACAAAAGTGAACGTAATAAGTCATGTAAATCCAATCTATTGATATACCGATTACAAGCATAAATAATCACTTGTTTAAAGAAAGATTTGAGCGTTTTCATGGATTTTTTGCAATAACGTATAAGCGGCAACAGATCTTTCACGATCCTTTTCACGATCATCAAATTGCGGTACCCGATCTTTCACGATCCGTAATATCAATATTTTACAAATATTACCGTTTTTGCAAAAATTCTGAATAAACTAAATCAAAATAACTTTGAGAACAATTTCAAACAGTAATATTGAACGATATTTCTAGGAGAAAAGTAGTTTATACATTAAAAATTTGAAAAAAATCATGTTTGTTTTCAGTTTTATTTCTCTGAAATTTCGAAGAGCAATCTGCCTTTTGTAGTTTTGTAAAAACGGTGTATATCTAAGTCTTTATTTTTCTCGGATACTTAAATGAGAATGTTGAACCATTTTGACTGACAGTTTTGTTTTTCCAATATTTTTCATAATAATCGATTAAATAAGATTATTTACTGAGGGAGCATGTGTCTTCTCGATAATATTTCATTCACGATCCTATACCAGATCTTTCACAATCTGATCGCAATGCTTAACCACCGTTAGTTATTCTTTCACGATCATTTCTCTCGATAAACCGAATGACACCTGTGAAAAATAGTTAATTCTAATCTGAATTCCACACTTAATCATAAATAAGTTTTTGACCCTTAACCAATTCCTCTATGGAAATTTTTTTTTACATACTTTGAATTGCATAGGATTTTTCAATAAAATGCTGAAAATTCACTTACTTTAATGAAATATTAACTGTACCTTAAAAAGACCAGTTAGCGACATTTGAAATTTTTTGTCAGTTATACATTGAAGTCCGATCTTTAAAATTTACTAAAAAAAATTTTTTAATATTGTTGCCATGGTAACAGATTTATCCAAATATAATGAAAATGGTTAAATTTTGGGTTTAATCTTGTAATATCAATTAGTTTCTAAGAAAACAATGAGATAATTGAATGTCTATGTATAATCTGAATGGACACTTTATTTTCTTTAAAAAATTGTCCAATTTTTCCTCATAGCAAAAGTATTTCCATAGCAACCAAAGAAAATTGTGATTAAATTTTCAATTTTAAAAAATAACAATTTGGTGATTGAAATTAAAAAAATAAGGTTTTTACAGGCTAATCCAGATGACTCATATATTGGAATACATTATGGAATATTATATTGTACATTATTTTTTCCTAGCAACAGTTTCTGTTCATAGCAACCAACTGAAATCCTGTATAACATATGTGTGCCCCATAGCATCCAAATAAGGCCCAAGCAACAGACTTAAAAGTAGGTGCTTAGGACAACAAATTAGAAAATGCATTATTAGTTATCAGATATCTTGTTTCTAAAAGAAAATCTGTGATGTTTGTGATATTGTTTAACAAAGAACTTTTTGCATACTAGTAGATAAATATCACAGTTTGAAAAGGCAATATGAAATTAATAGCATGTGGTATAGTTTCCTTTTATCACAATTTTGTACACCATTTGCATTTGGTTTTGGTTGTGTTCAATGGAACACTGATATTGATATTGTTAACTTGCTGATTATGCATATGCCTGTTTCTCTTTGTAAAGTCCCCTCGAAATTGTAACATCAATCCTGAAATCTAGAAGGGTATTAAACTTTTTCCTATGTTGATATCCTACTGTGCCAGTCATCACAATTTGAATTTTCAAAAAGAAAACATTATTTCAATTTAGGTATTTTCCTATAAAGGCAAATCCCTTCCCCTCCAAAAATAACAAGACATTAACTAAAAAAAATTCAGCTAACCCCTCTCCCCCAGGGTTAGGTATTTTCTTTGCATTTTTTTCCATCTTTTAGATCCACAGAAGTTTTGAAAGAAAAAAGATGAAGGATAGGTTCCATTCATTTGAAAAACATGAATCATACATATCTTTCAAAATCTACAATAGATAGTCATAACATTGATTGGTTGTTTGTTTCATGTCCAGTGGCAAATATTTTATGCATATTCAGAAGGAGATCCTTATAAATCCTGATTTGTTGACCTCTTCTCAATGCTGGTCTTCTAAAGTTCTTTCTGAAGACTGTTTTGCATACAATGATGAAATAAGGAAGTGTGGTAAGATTGCCAATGTGACAACTTTTTGGATGTTAGACAATGACCATTCATAGCTTATGTGTGTAATAAAGGGAACATATGAGTTTTTTTTTTAAATAAGAGTGTTGTTCATAATTTCTTGAAAAGTCTGGTTTCAGAAGTGAAAATAAAAGTTGCTTCCATTGAAAATTAGGGAAAAAATAAATCTATTGAGTTACCAAAATAATTAAATGTTCCTGCAACTTTGTTAATGAAAAAAAAAATGCTTCGCTGATTGTGATCAAATTTTTGACATAATATAGGTTTCTGACACAAAAGAAATGTGGTAAAAGATCTTACAAATCTATTGGGCAATACTGTGCAATTGAAGATTACTTCTTGAAACTTTTACAAAATTTGAAATTTGAAAATTTTTGAAAAAAATATGAATTCCTTAAAAAATGGTAGATCCGATAGGTGGGCGGGGCTTAGAATCACAACTTACGGATGCTGAATATTGTGGAATAATTCCCTATTCTCGTTAATTTAATTAAAAATAAAAAATAAGTATGATTGAAACTTAAATGTCACTTTCTATAAGCATAAACATTGAAAGATTGTACTTGAACGTTTTTTCTGGTCATTAAAATTTGTATGTAACCGCCAACTTTATGACTCGCTGAAAGTCTTGTAATAGGATTCCACAAGCACATGTTTACATTTTGCAAGTTGCTATATTTTTTCACTCAATGGGTCAGAAAAGAATTGTATGGACTTGACTGCATATCTCTGCGATGTTCATTAAATTTCTGATATTTTTGAACGTAAAAAAAACAACTTGCTTTTGTTGCAATATTCTAAGACTCCAAAGCAGGACTGAACACTCTGATTTTCAAAATAAAGTTTTTCTTATGGAAAATCATTTTTTATGCAAACTGTATCGTACACATAGATTATTTTGTATTTTATAACCAGTTGGTATTTATAACCAACAATAAATGTAGTTATTGGGACAATGTCAGTGTTCTGAAACTTGATTGTCAACAAGAACTTCGAAAAAATGGCGACGGCTATTTATAAAAAAATCAGTACGTTTAAAGTATTATGCATTGCAAAAACAAATATTTTATAAATGAAATTTGAGTCAGGTATTCTTATGATTATCCTTTTTATATTGGATACAAATTTTATTAAGTCTGATACAAACTTTTCGTAGGAAAAGCATTTCAACTGAGGTACTACACAGAGGCGTCAAAAGGCGTCATTATGGAGTAAAGGGGTGGCGTCAAAAGGCGTCATTATGGAGGAAAGGGTTAATGACATCCTTTTTTCTGTTTTTTATTATTTTATTTTTATTACATTACAAAGTCTTTAAGTAACTGTTCCTTTTACAGGATTTTTCATATCTTTTTAATTGAATATGTGCTTATTGTCCTACTATGCCTTTTATTTAATAAAAGCATCTATTTTGATCTGTCAATTGGTCATCCCTCAGCACTATTGGCTATATTTTGGTGATCAGATATCATTGGTGGAGGAAGCCAGAGTGTCTGGAGAGAACCACTAACCTTAGGCAGGAAAACTGAAAATCCTAGTCAATTTAGATTGGAGTCAAACACACCTGCAACTAGCAGGGTTCAAACTCAAAATCTTTTAATGACAGGCTAGTGATACAGTAGACTCAGTTAATATAAAGGCCCCTAGTACCTATAAAGAATGTGCTGTATAATGTTTAAGTATTAGCAAAGAACTTCTTTCAAAATATTTGTATATTAGTCTATTTGAGGGATACAAGTTATAGTAAATCAATTTGTTGACTCTCTTTCAATAAAGAATTGTTATCATCATTATTATAATCATTTATATCATGGTACCACATTATAGGGGTGGAATTCTATTTTAACCTTACAGAAGCTAAAACTTGATTTTTGACTCATTTTGATTCAATTGTATTCCAATATTGGACAACTAAAACATTTAAGACGAATGAGAAGTAAGGTATTATCAATCAAATTTTTCACGAATCAACTCTAAAATATCATCTTCAAAAGAATATAAAATTACCTGTAGAATATTGAGATTATATGATGTTTCTCCCTTGAAACAGATTCTTGCTAATAATATATCCACATTCACTCCAACCATTCCTAAATGAAGTCTGGCATAGGCTTCATCATGGACATTAACTTTAACATATCCTGACAATGGAGCTGTGAAGATAGATATAAAATCATTAGAAATTTCATTAATTTAAAACAATTCAGTGAAATAATTTGTGGTTACATGTTCTTCCTTAATGAACAAAAATCTTATATATGAATCAATGGACAGAACATACATGTACCTATCAAACAGGAAGTGTTGGGTCCAAAAATATGACAATAGGTAAGTTTACAAATATGAAGCTTGGCACCAATTGTCCAGAATCTCTATTATGTAGTTTTGCTGACTAAAATGCAATGAAAATTCTCATAAGTGCACAAATATGAATGGCATATATGTGTGCAGCAAACAAGAAGAATATGTGTCACAGTATAGCTCATTAATGTAATGCTTGGTATCAAATATACAGTAGCTCTTGTTTTTTGTTGCTTAAAAAATGTGAGGAAATATCTTAAATTCGTATTAATATTAAAATTGCTAACATGAAATAAGCTGCTCCAAATGACTCAATCCTAGAATCTTTGGAGTTCCAACTATTCATAAAATAAAATTGTTTTCAGCACCAGATATTTTCCAAAAAGCTCTTTATAATAATTGGTAAAGAAAAAAATGCTTTTTAAAAAATAGGATAACTACGGAAGCCGATAAGGGCCATTCAAAAAAAAAAATTTATGTCGTAATTACGACATAACATGTCGTAATAACGACATCACTATGTCGTAATTACGACATAACATGTCGTAATAACGACATTACGATGTCGTAATTTCAACATAACATGTCGTTATTACGACATCGCTATGTCGTTATTACTACATCGCTATGTCGTAATTTCGACATAACATGTCGTTGTAACGACATCGATATGTCGTAATTTCGACATAACATGTCGTTATAACGACATCGCTATGTCGTAATTTCGACATAACAAGTCGTAATTACGACAACACTATGTCGTAATAACGACATCGCTAAATATATAAAAGAATATGTATTATGATTGCCAAGAGACTAAATGACACAGAAATTAACAACTATAGGTCATCATAATGCCCTCAATAATGAGAAAAGCCCCCGCATAGTCAGCTATAAAAGAGGGACGAAAGATACCAGAGGGAGAGTCCCCTAAATGACAGCTGTTTAACAATTTAATTCAAACGAGTGAAAATAACGGTTTTAATAATGTACAAATAAAGACCGAAACACGAATATGTAACACAGCAACAAATGACAACCACTGAATTACAGACTCCTGACCGCTATGTGATAATAACGACAACCTTATAGTTTAACTTTCCACTTTTTGAAGCGATAGGAATTTCAAAATGGATGCCAGAAAAGGCAAAATTTGTATCGTAAACAAATTCATCTTTTTTTTTTTGAGAATATTGAACACTTTATGCAATCAAGCTTAATTAAAGTTATTCACTAGCACCTCAGACTTGCACATACTAGAACTTTATTTATAATCAAGTCAAATGAGACCCAGTTGAATAGTGGAGCAATTCAAGCTCCATGGATTCTCTATTTATGTTTGGCATTGCAGGTTCTGAATAAGATGAATTTTAGGCTTTTCCCAATAAAGACTATGTTAAACTTTGGACTCATAGTGCTCAGACCCACGGATCTCTGTACCTTCATTTGTACACACTTGAATCTTAATGTACTACTGAGGCTTGATGCAAATTATAACTGCATTGCTATTGTTGGTTCTTAATGAGATTCTTCAAGCGTCCTCCCCATTGAAGCCCTATTAAAACTTTGTACCCCAAGTTCTTTTAACCACTGTTCCCCAGGAAAACTATTCCTACAAACTTAGAGGGAGGGTTGGGATCCCGCTAACATGTTTAACCCCGCCACATTCTTAATGTATGTGTCTGTCCCAAGTCTTTAATTTACACATTTGTTTTTCATTTATTTTTGTACATAAAATAGGCCGCTAGTTTTTCTCGTTTGAATTGTATTACATTTGTCATTTCGGGGTCTTTTATAGCTGACTATGCGGTATGGGCTGTGATCATTGTTGAAGGCCGTACGGTGTCTTTAATTGTAAATTTCTGTGTCATTTGGTTTCTTGTTGAGAGTTGCGTTTTTGAACAAACGAGCGTATCCCAAGGCCTTGATAACCTCTGTAGGCCCCAAATAAGACGAAAAAAACCAACAAAATTGAAGAGAAAACTGAAAAAAATGGTTTCTAACCTCAGGGATATTAACCCTTGGCTATCTTAGATTTAATGCAATCAGTATGCATCAGCATCAAGGTACAGCTCATTTGCATATCATTTGCATATTTTTACAAATACTCGAAATTTAGACAATTTCTGATAACAATTCAGCATGCCAAGGGTTAATATCCCTGAGGTTAGAAACCATTTATTTTCAGTTTTCTCTCCAATTTTGATGTTTTTTTCGTCTTATTTGGGGCCTACAGAGGTTATCAAGGCCTTGGGATACGCTCGTTTGTTCAAAAACGCAACTCTCAACAAGAAACCAAATGACACAGAAATTAACAATTATAGGTCAACGTACGGCCTTCAACAATGATCACAGCCCATACCGCATAGTCAGCTATAAAAGGCCCCGAAATGACAAATGTAATACAATTCAAACGAGAAAAACTAGCGGCCTACTTAATGTACAAAAATAAACGAAAAACAAATATGTAAATTAAAGACTTGGGACAGACACATACATTAAGAATGTGGCGGGGTTAAACATGTTAGCGGGATCCCAACCCTCCATCTAAGTTTGTAGGAATAGTTGTCCTGGGGAACAGTAGTTAAAAGAACTTGAGGTACAAAGTTTTAATAGGGCTTCAATGGGGAGGACACTTGAAGAATCTCATTATGAACCAACAATAGCAATGCAGTTATAATTTGCATCAAGCCTCAGTAGTACATTAAGATTCAAGTGTGTACAAATGAAGGTACAGAGATCCGTGGGTCTGAGCACTATGAGTCCAAAGTTTAACATAGTCTTTATTGGGAAAAGCTTAAAATTCATCTTATTCAGAACCTGCAATGCCAAACATAATTAGAGGCTCCAGGGAGCTTGAATTGCTCCCCTATTCAACTGGGTCTCATTTGACTTGATTATAAATAAAGTTCTAGTATGTGCAAGTCTGAGGTGCTAGTGAATAACTTTAATTAAGCTTGGTTGCATAAAGTGTCCAATATCCCCTAAAAAAAAGATGAATTTGTTTACGATACAAACTTTGCCTTTACTGGGGACCATTTTGAAATTCCTATCGCTTCAAAAAGTGAAAAGTTAAACTATAAGGTTGTCGTTAATATCAGATAACGGTCAGGAGTCTGTAATTCAGTGGTTGTCATTTGTTGCTGTGTTACATATTCGTGTTTCGGTCTTTGTTTGTACATTATTCAAACCGTTATTTTCACTCATTTGAATTAAATTGTTAAACAGCTGTCATTTAGGGGACTCTCCCTCTGGTATCTTTCGTCCCTCTTTTATAGCTGACTATGCGGGGGCTTTTCTCATTATTAAGGGCATTATGATGACCTATAGTTATTTATTTTTGTGTCATTTAGTCTCTTGGCAATCATAATACATATTCTTTTATATATATAGCGATGTCGTTATAACGACATAGCTATGTCGTAATTACGACATAGTGATGTCGTAATTACGACATGTTATGTCGAAATTACGACATAGCGATGTCGTTATAACGACATGTTATGTCGAAATTACGACATAGTGATGTTGTTATTACGACATGTTATGTCGTAATTACGACATAAAAATTTTTTTTTGAATTGCCCTTATCGGCTTCCGTAGATAACACATAATTGATTTCAGTTGTAAAAATGAAAAGGTAATAATTTATTTACCTATCTTCAAAGCTAGATAATTTGACATAATGAATCCAAATGACCCTCCGAGGTTACTGGAACCAAGAACTTTCCTCCAGTCTACTGATGGAGCCTGAAGTTTAAACTGTAATCCTTCAAAGAAACTTCTTTTTTCTCTTCTGTGAGGTCCCAATTTCTGTTCTACAGATACAGTGGATGTATTTGTGGCAGGATTTTGAATTCTAGAATATCTGTATAAAATTTCTTATGCATAAATATTACTGTTAAGATACTAGTATTGCAATATTTGAATATCTCTTTAATACCAAATTATTCCATAGTGATCTTTTTTCATTGATGATGTGTTTTCTTTTATTTTCCCTTTTTCACATATATTTGAGATAAACAATGATGCCTATGTATATACATGTGACTGAACTTTTCAAAACCAATGTGATAATAACTGAAGGTGTTATATTTTTTCATAAAATACACAGTAAACCAACTAATTTTCCAGAGTATTTCTGTTCATGACTTTAACCTGTATAAAAATAACTGAATATAAACATTGCAAATAAAATTCTTCTCTTATACTAATACATCAACAAAGTTTAATTGTTATTCAGTTATTCAGACAAATGATAATGTGAACAAGCATTCTGAGAGTATTGCATGGCAATGGTGTAAACAAAAAGAAAATATCAAGTCAATATCTTCAAGCATGACTAAAAACAGTGTTGAAAACTGAATATATGAGTGAATTTTTTCAAGTCCAAGGACCATAACTCTGCACAAAATTATCAGACCGAAACAAAAATTTGAACTTGATCTGTAACTTGTCATGATAAAACTATAGACAAATTGTCAATCAATATCTTCAAGCATGATGAATAAAAGTGTGGAAAACCTATAACACTCTAACATTAGATATGATTAATAGTTCTCTAAAATTAGATATGATGTAATACAATGTACATCTACTTTCAAATTACAATCAAATATAATTAATAGTTCCAAATAGTTTTTCTTTCATTTGCCACAAACTAATATAGATATGTAACTTATCTATAAAATGTCAACAACTTTAATCTACACAATGTAATGTAATGAAATATATACCTTAATAAAAATAGATTATTATCTAATTAAAGGATTTCACTTAATGAAAAAAAAATATATATATATATATACATGTAGCATTCAGAAAATTAGTTTATACAAAATAACATATAAACCTGCCACAAAATTCCTCAAACAATTTACCAAAGAATGTCTTTTAAAAAATGAGTTATCTCCCTTTGTACAGATATATGGTTTAACATAGTACTCTAACATTAGTTATGGAGTTTTTTTATGGACCATAACTCTGGACTAAATCATCAGACCAGTGTCATATGGTATTTTGAACCCCATGGTAAATTGACCCCGTGGTCAAAATACCGCTATGGTAAATTGAACCCCCCCCCCCCCCCCCCCTGTTTTTTTCATTCTAGATGATTATTAGAACATTATACATTATTCTAAAGCTTATCATAGATTAAAAATCATTCATACAAGAAGGGGAGGTCAATTTTCCATGATTGGTTAAAAGAAATATCTTTGCTTGGTATAAGCTTAAGTGCTCTGAAGTCTTTACCAACAAAATTTCATTCATAATACTTATTGAAGCATTATAACTAGACCATGTAGCTTGAAGGCTTTAATTATTTGTAATTAAAACATATAAATATATATATATATATATATATATATATATATACAGGTAGTTTTAATTTTCCATGGTAAAAAAGGGGGAGGGGGTCAAATTACGATGGCTCAATTAAATTCAAAAAGTAAAACTTTCAAAACATCTTTTCCAGCATGTTAAATACATACAAACTACTTATTGGAGTATTATTACTATATATAAGAGTAAGAATTGCTAGAATTTTAGAAATTAAAGGTCTATGGTAGGGGGTTCAATATACCATGGCAGGGGGGTCAAAATACCATGGCAAAGTAAAATTTTCAAAATATCTTTTCAAGCAAGTTAAATATATACAAACTACTTATTGAAGTATTATTACTATATACAAGAGCTAGAAATGCCAGAACTTCTGAAACCAAAGGTCTATAGTAGGGGGTTCAATATACCATGGCAGGGGGGTCAAAATACCATGGCAAAGTAAAATTTTCAAAACATCTTTTCCAGAAAGTAAAATACATACAAACTACTTATTGAAGTATTATTACTATGTAACAGAGATAGAATAGCTAGAATTTTTTAAATTAAAAGTGTAAAAGGGGGGGGGGTTCAATATACCATGGTAGGGGGGTCAAAATACCATTGCTAGATAAAAATTTCAAAACATCTTTTCAAGCAAGTAAAATACATAAAAACTACTTATTGGAGTATTATAACTATAAACAAGAGTTAGAATTGCTAGAATTTTTGAAATTAAAGGTCTATAGTAGGGGGTTCAATATACCATGGCAGGGGGGTCAAAATACCATGGCAAAGTAAAATATTCAAAATATCTTTTCCAGCAAGTTAAATACATACGAACTACATATTGGAGTATTATTACAATATACAAGAGTTAAAATTGCCAGAACTTTTGAAACTAAAGGTCTATAGTAGGGGGTTCAATATACCATGGCAGAGGGGTCAAAATACCATGGCAAAGTAAAATTTCCGAATTTTTTTCCAGCAAGTTAAATATATACAAACTACATATTGGAGTATTATTACTATATACAAGAGTTAGAATTGCCAGCACTTTTGAAACTAAAGGTCTATAGTAGGGGGTTCAATATACCATGGCAGGGGGGTCAAAATACCATGGCAAAGTAAAATATTCAAAATATCTTTTCCAGCAAGTTAAATACATACAAACTACATATTGGAGTATTATTACAATATACAAGAGCTAGAATTGCCAGAACTTTTGAAACTAAAGGTCTATAGTAGGGGGTTCAATATACCATGGCAGGGGGGTCAAAATACCATGGCAAAGTAAAATTTTCAAAACATCTTTTCCAGCAAGTTGAATACATACAAACTACTTATTGAAGTATTATTACTATGTAACAGAGTTAGAATATCTAGAATTTTGAAAATGAAGGTGTAAAAGGGGGGGTTCAATATACTATGGTAGGGCGTCAAAATACCACGGCTAGATAAAAATTTCAAAACATCTTTTCAAGCAAGTTAAATATATACAAACTACATATTGGAGTATTATTCCTATATACAAGAGTTAGAATTGCCAGAACTTTTGAAACTTAAGGTCTATAGTAGGGGGTTCCATATACCATGGCAGGGGGGTCAAAATACCATGGCAAAGTAAAAAATCAAAACATCTTTTCAAGCAAGTAAAATACATAAAAACTACTTATTGGAGTATTATAACTATATACAAGAGTTATAATTGCTAGATTTTTTTAAATTAAAGGTCTATAGTAGGGGGTTCAATATACCATGGCAGGGGGGTCAAAATACCATGGCAAAGTAAAATATTCAAAATATCTTTTCCAGCAAGTTAAATACATACGAACTACATATTGGAGTATTATTACAATATACAAGAGTTAAAATTGCCAGAACTTTTGAAACTAAAGGTCTATAGTAAGGGGTTCAATATACCATGGCAGGGGGTCAAAATACCATGGCTAGATAAAATTTTCAAAACATCTTTTCAAGCAAGTAAAATACATACAAACTACTTATTGGAGTATCATAACTGTATACAAGTATTAGAATTGCTAGAATTTTTGAAATTAAAGGTCTATAATAGGGGGTTCAATATACCATGGCAAGGGGGTCAAAATACCATGGCAAAGTAAAATTTTCAAAATATCTTTTCCAGCAAGTTAATTACATACAAACTACATATTGGAGTATCATTACTATATACAAGAGTTTGAATTGCCAGAACTTTTGAAATTAAAGGTCTATAGTAGGGGTTTCAATATGACATGGCAAGGGGTCAAAATACCATGGCAAAAGTAAAATTTTCAAAATATCTTTTCCAGCAAGTTAATTACATACAAACTACATATTGGAGTATTATTACTATATACAAGAGTTTGAATTGCCAGAACTTTTGAAATTAAAGGTCTATTGTAGGGGGTTCAATATACCATGCATGATGGGGGTCAAAATACCATGGCTAATTAAAATTTTCAAAACATCTTTTCAAGCAAGTAAAATACATACAAACTACTTATTGAAGTATTATTACTATGTAACAGAGATAGAATAGCTAGAATTTTTGAAATTGGAGGTGTTATTTTTCATATCTGCATATTTTGTTTCCTGGATGCTTTAAATTATTCTTATACTCATTGAAGCCGTCTGTACTCATGGAAGAGGTTGTATAGAAAAATTGAAAGTCCAATTTCCATGTGAAGTGTAACTCTGTGACACAAATTATAAGAATATTTCGTATTTTGTTCTTGAGAGTAACACACCAGCTTTATTAGGACCTCTTATATACTGACAACTATTTGGTCAGATAAAACATTTCAAATTTAAAGGGTTTCCTGAAGTAACTTAACTCAATTCAAAAATTCAACAGGAAGACTTAGTTTTGAAAAATATCTTGTTTTCATAAGTCTTGTGAATACCTGAACATGCACTCAAAAGAACCAATTTATATTTGGTAAAAGTCAATAAACACATCATGGACATGTGGTCAGGATTAAAGTTTTGTACGCCAGACACGTGTTACGACTACAAAACATTAAAAAAGACCAAAAATAGAACAAATTTTAGGAGCATTGAGGACCCAAAATTCCGAAAGGTTTTGTCAAATACAGCCAAGGTAATCTATTCCTCGGGTTATCCTTAGTATTTCGAAAATTTCACAAACTTTATAATAGGACAGTCACTCAAAAAGAAAGAAAACGATAAGAAAAACAACTAGATGTCGGAGTAACTCAATGATGAGCATGCTTCAAAATCACATTAAGCTCTTACTGCCGTGTCCTAGATTTGCAAAAAAGAAATGCAAAAAATCACCTACCACGTGTGAAATCAAAGTTTACGCATGAACGTAGTTTTCTTGCGCAAGAAATAGTAAATGGCAAGCATACGGACTGATATTCTGGATAAGAATATGCATTTGCGTCATCACGTATATTTATTCTAGGTTCAAATCTAATGTTAGTTGAATTCGGCTGTCAAACGGCCTACCTCAAGTGGTTTGACTCCGGATTCTTTGCCATTAAACTGGAATTTGTGTCAACGCAAACCAATATTGTTGTCAAACCAGATTTTAAATCCGATTTTATTGTGTCGTGTGAACAGGGTGTAATAATAAGTAATATTATGTAAATAAACGGCAAGACGTTTGTAGGGTAGCTGGTCAACACAACCCATACAATTTTCAAAATTGCACAATCATTGCAAAGATTTAGATGCTATAAGTTTGAACTATTAAAAACAAAAAAAGAATTAAAATTCAATTAATATACATTCCTAACTGTTAATAAATCTTTTCCAGAAATTTAAAATATACTATCAATAAACACAAACGTCAAGTATTTACTAATGGCAATTTGTTTATCAAATCAATCTCTTCCTCAATTCTAACTTTGTATTTTTTTTCTATACAAAATATAAGCAGAGACTTATTAAACCATACGTAAACGATATAAAATTAGTAACTTATACGTAGTAATTATGATTATTGTAAAATATTTATTACGTTTATTGTGAAATGCAAGGATTCGAAATTCTTGCATTCTGGAAACTGAATTGTGTATCTTGATGAACTTGCTCTTTTGGGTTTTCATGTGAATTATAACCATGCAACTATTTTTTTCATTCCTTACAGTTTAAACATTAGATACTAATTTATTTGTGTTCATTCCTGATAATTGGTACTCATATGTTGCATATGATTTTCATAAATGTATTCACTGTTAAAACCCGCAGGATGATAATATAACATTAGTTATATTCTATTAATGATAAATTTAGTTTCATGTTAAACTTTAATAATTTTAATGAATATTCCCTTGGCCTGTTAGTATCTATTAATGAAAATAACTATTTTAGACACAATACCGTTTTGTTTAATTATCTTTCTGTTTTCCGACCTAAGATGAATATTTTTAACAGTAATATCGTTTTGTTCATTTTCTTCTTGTATTCCGACATTTGCTCAGGCTGTGGTGGAATTACAAATATGACATGTTAAACGTTCAGAAATTATCAGTTTATTCTGGGACATAATTTAATGTCAGTATATTATTACCATGTGTATTGTCACAATGGACAATAGCACGTTGTAATACTACACAACAAGTTGCTTTCTTAAAAAAAAGAAATGCAATCGTGAACCTAAATGCCTGTTTGGTATATAAGATTAGGTAATTGTTATATAAAGATGCATGATTTTACCTCATTTTTTATATAAGATGTAGATAAACTGACATGGATTCTTAATGAAACTTCAGTCTGTTCAATGTTGGGCATAATTTTCTTGTTAACGAAGTCATTTCTCTATCTCTCCCATCCCTCCCTCTTCCCAAAGATAACATTAAAACATGCTAAAAAGGTGCGACCACTGTATGTTCAGAAATGCTGTTTTGAAAATTAGAGGTAGTTTCCTGGCTCAAGTCGACATGTAAATGTCAAAACAGTCTTTGTTTTGAAGAAATTTAAAAAACTGAATCCTGATTACTTGTTTTTGTAGCAAGTTTGAAAATAGTTCAAAACCCTAAGCTATATTCTTATATGTTAATCCCGTACTAAAACCGTTCTGGAAAACCAATTACATTGGTTTATATGGTTTGGTCATTAGCTATCTGATATTCAAGATATGCTTGATCTCAATTTTAAAGGCAACAATCTCCAATTAGACATTTTGAGTAGAAATAATTTGAAGCCTCAACGTTATACTTAAATTAGTTTGTTCAAACAAATCTCACTTTTTCATTTCATAACTTGTCCTTTTGTAAATTAGCCAAAATATAATGAAGTTGTTGATTTGTTGTTTTTATACAATTGTGTGACAGACAGAGAAAAGCAGGAATAACAGTGCCAATTCAGTATAGATCATGTCCAGTACGCAATTTAAAAATCCTGTTTTTGCAATCGTATCTCCGTTGAATACGAATATTGATATTAAGAAAAATTATTTGTTACTAAGATGTGCTAATTTTTGCTTTAATGAATACAAACGTTTTTGTATCGCCTAATTTGCAAAGATATCGTCATATTGTTTCGCTAAAAAAGGTCTAGGCCTCTTTGTTGATAGGGATGAGGGATGGATAAATACCCTGCCACGTTCGGTCTGTGTTTTTGTTTGATATTTTTCTGCTTTGTATCGATCTGATGAGTGAAGCCTTTTTCAACTGATTTTTATAGTTTGTCCTTATTTTGTGCTGTTAATCCACTGTCCCAGGTAAGGGGGAAGGTTGAGCGCTCACAAACATGTTCAACACCGCCACATTCTTTCTGTGCCTGTCCCAAGTCAGGAGCCTGTAGTTCAGTGGTTGTCGTTGGTTCTTGTCTGTCATTATTGTTTTTTTTTTTGTAAATTGTTTTGTTATAAATTAGGCCGTTAGTTTTCTCAATTTAATTGTTTCATATTTTTCATGTCGAGGCCTTTTATAGCCGACTATACGGTATGTGTTTTTCTCATTGTTCAAGGCCGTACTGTTGCCTATAATTCCTTACATCCACTTCTCTTTAACTTTGGTGGATAGTTGTCTCATTGGCAATCATACCACATCTCCTTATTTTTATATAGATCCTCTAAATTCGCCTACTACATTTGTAATACAGATTGTCTCAACTCCTTGAAAACAAATTGACAGAATTCCCAGAAACTTGCACTGATTCTTCTTCAGGTTGGACATTAAGTTGTGCACCTGCTACTTTAACTTTTAGTCTGATGGTTTATGTTGGGTTGGGGTGGGGTGGGGTCAAATACCACAAAGAATATCAATCAGTGGGTCTTAAAATTGTTTCATATCAATAGAATTATTCTAAGGACTCAAACGCATATTCATTTATGGACTGTTTCGATACTTTCTGCATTTAATAGAAACAATTTTAGAAACTCCTTGTTTGTTTTTCGCATCTTTCCTGGGCGTAGAATTTTAATTGCTGCTCAAACAGACTTTGCTCATTTTTAATCACGCTAAAATGGTTGGTTTAAAACACCCTATTCATTGACCGTCACTTAATCTGCAATGTGAACCAAGCTTGTAATTTAGAAAACTTAACATATACGACGCTAATTCAATTAACTACTGATGTAGGATATCAGTCCGCCTCAATTAACACTTATCTCTATAGCAACTGTAAAACGCTTATACATATTCATTAGATCAATTAATTACCTATTACGCAGGCGGCCATAGAAAAGAACAGTTGTAGTTCGAAAAGACAGTAGGCATTTCCGGTATGCCGAAAGACAACAACATCAATTAATATATATGCGTGCATATATATTAATTAGAAAATGTGTACAGGGACTGTCTCAAAACATGAATTATATATACTTTCAAATAAAAACTCAATAAGCTAATCAAAATCGTTGTTTCTCATGATTATTGGGCATTGCAAACATGCTAAGTTTTGAACTTGTTTGGAACATTTGAGTTATATTCCTCTGTCTGTATGTCAGAATTGTAAAAATCGGGATCATGGCAAATTAGTTTTTATCTGCAAGAAGGTTCTTACACAGCTTGAGAAGAAAAGCATGGCTGATTGACAAAATTCAAAGATGCATAATAAATAGTAGCTTATGGACATTACACTTATTGTAACAGATCATCATGACCATACAGTGATTTCATTCTTGTAAATCACCAAATCATTTAAAGTGCAATGTACTATCTTTTATTTTTCACAAGGAATCAGATAAATGTCCTTCTTTGTGCTCATCATCAGTATACCATTTAAAAAAAAGATATGACACTTTTTCTAGAACACAAAAACAGCACTAGCAACCTTTGAAATTGTTGTCGCGCACTAAAACCCCCATGGGGATTTTCAAAAGTTGGCAGGTATGATGTTGACCTCTTGGTGTCTTTTGGTTGGAATTATAAACTATGGTTTGGTTTACCAACAGCTGTCTACTGTATGTGCATTCAAAATCCATTTCTTATACTCATAAGTAAGGAATTATACAATATGAAATGCATCACTTTTAGCCTTCTATAAATTAACTTCCTACACCATGAAGATTTTACCTATTATACTCCGACTTTGGATGAGCCTGATAGATGAGATTAGCTTCATATCTCACTTCTTCATTCTCATCATTCATGGCTGCTTTGAATATTGCCTCAACTGCCTACAATAGAAACTACAAATTTTGCAATGATTTCTGAATGTTAAATGAATTCTTTTTTTTCCAAAATTTCTTATTGCATCATGTTTATACAAGAACAATCTAGTTTTCTAAAGAATAATTAACTTATAGCTGAAAACCTTTGATTTAAACTAGTGTCTCCCAAAAAAATAGATACAATAGTGTAAAATACTGGAGAAGAATAAAGTCCGACTCAATAAACCTTAGTGTAAAATACTGTAGAAGAACTAGATATCATTGAGATGGGAGCCATCTCTGTGGGCCCCGCTGTGAATAATGTGTGGTAAAAAATTTGTGTATCTTTATCATTGGACATGGGGTTGTCAACTGAAACCAAAGTTTTTGACCTTGACCTTAGACCTAGGAAGTTGCACATAAATTATGACACACCCTCTGGTGTTGGTTTATATACATGTCAAGTATAAATTTTGAAATCATAACGGTTCTCAAGATATAGAGCGGACACGATCTTTACCATAGGACATGGGGTTGTCAACTAAAACCAAAGTTTTTGACCTTGACCTTTGACCTAGGAAGTTGTACATACATTATGACACACCCTCTGGTGTTGGTTAATAAACATGTCAAGTATAAACTCTGAAATCATAACGGTTATCTAGATATAGAGCGGACACAATTTGTTTTGGACGGACGGATGGACAGACGGATGGACAGACTGATCACTATAGGGCGTCCAACATTCGGTGCGGACAGACGGACGGACAGACTGATCACTATAGGGCGTCCGCCATTCGGCGGGGCCCTAATAAACCTTAGTGTAAAATACTGTAGAAGAATAAACCTGAGTTTTCAAAGTCTTCAACCGTTTTAACAATATATATATTTCCCATTAAGACAAATTTTCACAACTTAAATGCAATATTAAAAGAAGAAGACTTCTATTAAGAATAGACTTTTTATAAATCTACATGAATCTTACCATTTCAGTGTCATATTTCCTGAGGGCATGTACACCTGCTCTTTTGATCCATGGTGAGTTTGTAGAATTGATATGAGAAATAATATACTCATAAGAATGGTCAATAGCAGCATTTCCAAGGGTTTCTAACAGAATCACATGCTTCTTATCATATTCTTCTTGTTCTACATCTGACTGTGTGGATCGCTTCTGTCTGTACAACCAGGGATCTAACATTTAGAAATCAATATGAACATTGAAAAATTGTAAGTTAAACTTCATCATCCAAAATAGATACAAACTAGAGGCTCTCAAGAGCCTGTGTCGCTCACCTGATTCTACTTTGGTTTTGGAAATCATGTTAAAATAGATTAAAATCATAACAGATACCCTAATAATGAGTGAGGCCAAATTTGGTTTAATATTGGCCCTGTAATTTAATAAAAAATCCTGGTGGCAATCTTGAACAGTAAATCAGCAATAAAGTAGCAACACTTCATCAACACCTAATAAGCAACATTAATGCCATGTTTGGTTTCATTCCATTCAGTGCACCTCTAGAAGAAGACATTTGTATGTATTTCCAATAGGGTCTTATGTTAAAGGAAGTCCCCCTGCTGGCAGCCATCATGGATGAAGGATAAGCTTCAAAGTAACAACACTTAGTCAGCACCTCATAAGTAACATTCATGCCATGTTTGGTTTCAATCCATTCAGTGGTTCTCTAAAAGAAGACATGTGTATGTAATGTCCATAGGGTCCTTTGTTAAACACTGTCCCCAACTGGTGGCCATCTTGGTTGATGGATCGGCTTCAAAGTAACAACACTTCGTCAGCACTTCATAAGGAACATTCATGCCATATTTGGTTTCATTCCATTAAGTGGTTCTCTAAAAGAAGACATTTGTATGTATTTCCCATAGGGTCCTATGTTAAACTAAGCCCCCCCGCTGGCGGCCATCTTGGATTATGGATCGGCTTCAAAGTAACAACACTTGGTCAGCACCTCAAAAGGAACATTCATGCCATGTTTGGTTTCATTCCATTCAGTGGTTCCTTAAAAGAAGACATTTGTATGTATTTCCCATAGGGTCCTATGTTAAACTAAGTCCCCCGCTGGCGGCCATCTTGGATGATGGATCGGCTTCAAAGTAACAACACTTAGTCAGCATCTCATGAGGAACATTCATGCCATTTTTGGTTTCATTCCATTCAGTAGTTCTCTAAAAGAAGACATTTGTAAATATTTCCCATAGGGTCCTATGTTAAACTAAGTCCCCGGCAGGCGGCCATCTTTGATTATGAATCGTCTTCAAAGTAACAACACTTGGTCAGCACCTCATAAGGAACATTCATGCCATGTTTGGTTTCAATCCATTCAGTGGTTCTCTAAAAGAAGACATTTGTATGTATTGTCCATAGGGTCCTTTGTTAAACTAAGTCCCCCGCTGGCGGCCATCTTGGATGATGGATCGGCTTCAAAGTTACAACACTTGGTTAGCAACTCATAAGGAACATTCATGCCATGTTTGGTTTCATTCCATTCAGTGGTTCTCTAAAAGAAGACATGTGTATGTAATGTCCATAGGGTCCTTTGTTAAACACTGTCCCCAACTGGTGGCCATCTTGGATGATGGATCGGCTTCAAAGTAACAACACTTGATCAGCACCTCATAAGGAACATTCTTGCCATGTTTGGTTTCATTCCATTCAGTGGTTCTCTAAAACAAGACGTTTGTATGTATTTCCCATAGGGTCCCATGTTAAACTAAGTTCCCCGCTGGCAGCCATCTTGGATTATGGATCGGCTTCAAAGTAACAACACTCGGTCAGCACCTCATAAGGAACATTCATGCCATGTTTGGTTTCATTCCATTCAGTGGTTCTCTAAAAGAAGACATTTGTATGTATTTCTCATAGAGTCCCATGTTAAACTAAGTCCCCTGCAGGCGGCCATCTTGGATTATGGATCGGCTTCAATGTAACAACACTCGGTCAGCACCTCATAAGAAACATTCATGCCATGTTTGGTTTCATTCCATTCAGTGGTTCTCTAAAAGAAGACATTTGTATGTATTTCCCATAGGGTCCAATGTTAAACTAAGTCCCCTGCTGACGACCATCTTGGATTATGGATCGGCTTCAAAGTAACAACACTCGGTCAGCACCTCATAAGAAACATTCATACCATGTTTGGTTTCATTCCATTCAGTGGTTCTCTAAAAGAAGACATTTGTATGTTTTTCCCATCTATAGGGTCCTATGTTAAACTAAGTTCCCCGCTGGCAGCCATCTTGGATTATGGATCGCCTTCAAAGTAACAACACTTGGTCAGCACCTCATAAGGAACATTCATGCCATGTTTGGTTTCATTCCATTCAGTGGTTCTCTAAAAGAAGACATTTGTATGTATTTCCCATAGGGTCCTATGCTTTACTAAGTCCCCCGCTGGCGGCCATCTTGGATTATGGATCGGCTTCAAAGTAACAACACTCAGACAGCACCTCATAAGGAACATTCATACCATGTTTGGTTTCATTCTATTCAGTGGTTCTCTAAAAGAAGACATTAGTATGTATTTCCCATAGGGTCCTATGTTAAACTAAGTCCCCCGCTGGCGGCCATCTTGGATTATGGATCGGCTTCAAAGTAACAACACTTAGTCAGCACCTCATAAGGAACATTCATGCCATGTTTGGTTTCATTCCATTCAGTAGTTCTCTAAAAGAAGACATTTGTAAATATTTCCCATAGGGTCCTATGTTAAACTAAGTCCCCGGCAGACGGCCATCTTTGATTATGAATCGTCTTCAAAGTAACAACACTTGGTCAGCACCTCATAAGGAACATTCATGCCATGTTTGGTTTCAATCCATTCAGTGTTTCTCTAAAAGAAGACATTTGTATGTATTGTCCATAGGGTCCTTTGTTAAACTAAGTCCCCCGCTGGCGGCCATCTTGGATGATGGATCGGCTTCAAAGTTACAACACTTGGTTAGCAACTCATAAGGAACATTCATGCCATGTTTGGTTTCATTCCATTCAGTGGTTCTCTAAAAGAAGACATGTGTATGTAATGTCCATAGGGTCCTTTGTTAAACACTGTCCCCAACTGGTGGCCATCTTGGATGATGGATCGGCTTCAAAGTAACAACACTTGATCAGCACCTCATAAGGAACATTCTTGCCATGTTTGGTTCATTCCATTCAGTGGTTCTCTAAAACAAGACGTTTGTATGTATTTCACATAGGGTCCCATGTTAAACTAAGTTCCCCGCTGGCAGCCATCTTGGATTATGGATCGGCTTCAAAGTAACAACACTCGGTCAGCACCTCATAAGGAACATTCATGCCATGATTGGTTTCATTCCATTCAGTGGTTCTCTAAAAGAAGACATTTGTATGTATTTCTCATAGAGTCCCATGTTAAACTATCCCCTGCAGGCGGCCATCTTGGATTATGGATCGGCTTCAAAGTAACAACACTCGGTCAGCACCTCATAAGAAACATTCATGCCATGTTTGGTTTCATTCCATTCAGTGGTTCTCTAAAAGAAGACATTTGTATGTATTTCCCATTGGGTCCAATGTTAAACTAAGTCCCCTGCTGACGGCCATCTTGGATTATGGATCGGCTTCAAAGTAACAACACTCGGTCAGCACCTCATAAGAAACATTCATACCATGTTTGGTTTCATTCCATTCAGTGGTTCACTAAAAGAAGACATTTGTATGTTTTTCCCATCTATAGGGTCCTATGTTAACTAAGTCCCCCGCTGGCAGCCATCTTGGATTATGGATCGCCTTCAAAGTAACAACACTTGGTCAGCACCTCATAAGGAACATTCATGCCATGTTTGGTTTCATTCCATTCAGTGGTTCTCTAAAAGAAGACATTTGTATGTATTTCCCATAGGGTCCTATGCTTTACTAAGTCCCCCGCTGGCGGCCATCTTGGATTATGGATCGGCTTCAAAGTAACAACACTCGGTCAGCACCTCATAAGGAACATTCATACCATGTTTGGTTTCATTCCATTCAGTGGTTCTCTAAAAGAAGACATTAGTATGTATTTCCCATAGGGTCCTATGTTAAACTAAGTCCCCCGCTGGCGGCCATCTTGGATTATGGATCGGCTTCAAAGTAACAACACTTGGTCAGCACCTCATAAGGAACATTCATGCCATGTTTGGTTTCATTCCATTCAGTGGTTCTCTAAAAGAAGACATTTGTATGTATTTCCCATAGGGTCCTATGCTAAACTAAGTCCCCCGCTGGCGGCCATCTTGGATGATGGATCCGCTACAAAGTAACAACACTTGGTCAGCACCTCAAAAGGAACATTTAAGCCATGTTTGGTTTCATTCCATTCAGTGGTTCTCTAAAAAAAGACATGTGTATGTAATGTCCATAGGGTCCTTTGTTAAACATCGTCCCCAACTGGTGGCCATCTTGGATGATGGATCGTCTTCAAAGTTACAACACTTGGTTAGCACCTCATAAGGAACATTCATGCCATGTTTGGTTTCATTCCATTCAGTGGTTCTCTAAAAGAAGACATTTGTATGTATTTCCCATGCGGTCCTATGTTAAACTAAGTCTTCCGCTGGCGGCCATCTTGGATGATGGATAGGCTTCAAAGTAACAACACTTGGTCAGCACCTCATAAGAAACATTTATGCCATGTTTGGTTTCATTCCATTCAGTGGTTCTCTAAAAGAAGACATGTGTATGTAATGTCCATAGGGTCCTTTGTTAAACACTGTCCCCAACTGGTGGCCATCTTGGATTATGGATCGGCTTCAAAGTAACAACACTTGGTCAGCACCTCATAAAGGAACATTCTTGCCATGTCTGGTTTCATTCCATTCAGTAGTTCTCTAAAAGAAGACGTTTGTATGTATTTCCCATAGGGTCCCATGTTAAACTAAGTTCCCTGCTGGCGGCCATCTTGGATTATGGATCGGCTTCAAAGTAACAACACTCGGTCAGCACCTCATAAGGAACATTCATGCTATGTTTGGTTTCATTCCATTCAGTGGTTCTCTAAAAGAAGACATTTGTATGTATTTCTCATAGAGTCCCATGTTAAACTAAGTCCCCTGCATGCGGCCATCTTGGATTATGGATCGGCTTCAAAGTAACAACACTCGGTCAGCACTTCATAAGAAACATTCATGCCATGTTTGGTTTCATTCCATTCAGTGGTTCTCTAAAAGAAGACATGTGTATGTATTTCCCATAGGGTCCAATGTTAAACTAAGTCCCCTGCTGGCGGCCATCTTGGATTATGGATCGGCTTCAAAGTAACAACACTTGGTCAGCACCTCATAAGGAACATTCATACCATGTTTGGTTTCATTCCATTCAGTGGTTCTCTAAAAAAAGACATTTGTATGTATTTCCCATAGGGTCCTATGTTAAACTAAGTCCCCCGCTGGCGGCCATCTTGGATTATGGATCGGCTTCAAAGTAACAACACTTGGTCAGCACCTCATAAGGAACATTCATGCCATGTTTGGTTTCATTCCATTCAGTGGTTCTCTAAAAGAAGACATTTGTATGTATTTCCCATAGGGTCCTATGCTAAACTAAGTCCCCCGCTGGCGGCCATCTTGGATGATGGATCCGCTACAAAGTAACAACACTTGGTCAACACGTCATAAGGAACATTCATGCCATGTTTGGTTTCATTCCATTCAGTAGTTCTCTAAAAGAAGTTCAAAATGTAAAAAGTTAACGCCGACGACGGACGACAAGTGATGAGAAAAGCTCACTTGGCCCTTTGTGCCAGGTGAGCTAAAAAATTAATATTATAATTGGTAATCATCATTTACAATTTCTGGCAGTTTCATTACTCAATAAGTCATTCAACTAAACCTGACATCTCTAATTGACATATACCAGGTTTTTGTTTTCAACCTGGACTGTTAAATATTGAAACATGTTTTGTATTCAAATTCCATTTGCATTGACCATATAATATATTTGAAATAAATTGTTGGCACAGAAATTATGTCTCTCCTGCATAAAATTTCAATAGTGTAATTGTTTAAAATTAAAATAGGTATAACTAAAACATTTAAAAAATGCTAAATATAAGTCAATGAACCATGACTGAACGTGCAAGGCCAAATAACTTCCCTGGAAATGAGATTTTCCAATGCTAATACAGCTGCATATCAAATATCAATGACCTACCACTAGTTGTTTCCCTTAAACTGACCTAATCACAAACTTTAACATATAAACCACGTAAAAGATCCAAAGTCAATAGACCATGACTGAGGGGATGGGTCCAAAGAAACTCCATAGTAATAAGATGCTCAATTGCTAATGCAACTGCATACCAATATAATAGACATACCACTCGTCTTTCCCTTAAACTGACCTGATCACAAACTAATACATTATTGTTGATGCCCCCGCAACTTTAAACTACAGGATGTTCCAAATTTAAACGCATAAGGGGATTAATAAATTAATAAATTGTGGGTGGTTGCATTTTCTTAGGAATTGAGAAACAATCATAAGTAAAATACAAATTTTATATTATTGATGGTTAGGGTCTAAAAAAAGTGCCCCGTCCTTTTGAAAGTATAAAGAATGTTTTTTCTTGTTGTTTTTTCTCAATGCAAATGGCATGATTTTCCATCCAGATATAATTACCCCTTACATTTTCACTAAAATTTATGACAATTTACCAAAAAATAGGCTGTACATACATTTGTCATTTAATAAGTAAAATTCTCACCATGCATCCCTAATAAAACCTGTACTCTTGAAGTTATGTTCCTTGCTTTCTTTTTTTCACCACTATCATATAATTTCTTTGCAGCAGCTCCTAAGGCTAACATAACTCTATCATATAAGTTTCCAACATAAAATGATGCTGGATACTTTTCTGTGTGAAAACAAATATCTTCCATACTTTGAAGAATAACCTGAATTCATGTCAAATAAATTTAAACAAATATTAATTTGATACATAGTACATATAGTAACATAAAGAGTAAACTGTGAAGCAAGAGCTACATATATCAACTCATTATTCCAATCTAAAAATATTGTTATTACCTGTTGCCATTTGGCAAATTGTGAATTTTGGAAGCAAATGCTATAAATTTGAGAATTAGGGTTTTGAAAATTTTGGTGTGAAGTTAAACTGAGTGGCGATAGTGACAAAACTGACAGGAAAGTTAATGAAAATAAGACAAATACAAAAGGTCACAGAATTTTATGACAAAACAAAGTCTCAATCTTTTAAAAATACAAATTCAAGTAGCTTCATACTTGATTACTATTATATTTACATGGCTCTACATTTTAATTTGAGTTAGCAATTAAAATTTTATTAAATATATTTCATTAAATTTCAACTTACTGGGTGTGGTGGCTGATCAGAACTGACAATATGTATCATGTACTGAACAATAAGGTCAGGATCTGGATTGGGTTTGAGGAAAATCATTTTGGCAATGATCTCTCTACTTATATTTGTTTCCAATGATCCAAATGCATCCAACATGATAACAGTTGACTGTCTGTTTTCCTGCAGTCTGAAGGATAATTAATGAAAACAATTAAAGTTAAGATCTACATTCCTTAGGCCTAAAAAAAAAATATCTGTGTTTCCGGTAACATCATTTTGTTAAATAGGGTTGGTAGGTGGGATTTTTTTTTTTTTTTTTTTTTTTTTTTTTTGACATTGTAAATGAAATTCGGAAAATTATCATGTTTTTTCCAAGTCCGTGTCCGTAATACCGGAAGTCCGGCCATTTGCAATGTTTTTGAAGCACCTGCTGTGCAAATTTCTTGGATTTTAACCTATTTGGAATACCTTTTGACATAAATAAAATGTTTTACTGGCTTTCTGTGCAGTTAGATAAATAATTATGTCGATTAACAGAAGCCTGTGTCAAAAACAGGGTCGGATGATACCAATTTTTTTTTTTTTTTTGAAGATCCAATAAAAAAATTAGGGTCGGGGCTAAAAAACAGGGTCGGTCGGGTTACCGGAAACACAGATTTTTTTTTGTCTCGGCCTTAATCAATTCATAAACATCATCAAGCTTACAACTATACACACAAGAGTGCACACGCTGAAATGTCTCGCCTTCTTTACTAATCATTGATATTATGTTGATAGTCCCAAATGTAAAGCTTTATTACAACTGCCACATAAACTTAACATTAACCAAGAAATCTAAACATTGACCAATGAACCATGAAAATGAGGTCAAGGTCAGATGAACCATGCCAGGCAGACATGTACAGCTAACAATTCGTCCATACATAAAATATAGTTGACCTATTGCTTATAGTTTAAGAAAAACAGACAAAAACACAAAAACTTAACACTGAGCAATGAATTGTGAAAATGAGGTCAAGGTCAAATAAAACCTGCGCAACTGACATATAGATCATAAAATATTTCCATACACCAAATATAGTTGACCTATTGCATATAGTATTAGAAAAAAAGACCAAAACTAAAAAAATTTACTTTGGACCACTGAACCATGAAAATGAGGTCAAGGTCAGATGCCACCTGCCAGCTAGACATGTACACCTTACAATCATTCCATACATCAAATATAGTAGACCTATTGCATACAGTATAAGAAAAACAGACCAAAATACAAAAACTTAACTATAACCACTGAACCATGAAAATGAGGTCAAGGTCAGATGACACCTTCCAGTTGGACATGTACACCTTAAGAGTCCTTCCATACACCGAATATACTAGACCTATTGCTAAAAGTATCTGAGATATGGACTTGACCACCAAAACTTAACCTTGTTCACTGATCAATGAAATGAGGTCGAGGTCAAGTGAAAACTATCTGACGGGCATGAGGACCCTGCAAGGTACGCACATACCAAATATAGTTATCCTATTACTTATAATAAGAGAGAATTTAACATTACAAAAAATCTTAACTTTTTTTTCAAGTAGTCACTGAACCATGAAAATGAGGTCAAGGACATTGGACATGTGACTGATGGAAACTTCGTAACATGAGGCATCTATATAGAAAGTATGAAGCATCCAGGTCTTCCACCTTCTAAAATATAAAGCTTTTAAGAAGTTAGCTAACGCCGCCGCGCCGCCGGATCACTATCCCTATGTCGAGCTTTCTGCAACAAAAGTCGCAGGCTCGACAAAAACCATAATACAAATAATCCAATGATAACTTTCAGATCAAGACCATTGTTTTATAAATGCCTGTTTTATTAATCCTCAAGCAGTAATAACTTCTCACATGGTGACGTTAACACTAGATGTCACAAATGACCTTGGATATCATTAAGCACTATATACCCCTTGGTTGTGTCAATTCTGAACATATGGAAATTTTGCAGAAATCCACAGACTTTCCCTATCAATTCTTAAATTTGAAAACTGGACACTAAATCAATAGAGATGTACTGCATGCAATGCTAGCAATAATTTTATATAAATAAGTACAAATATGGACCTATCCCAGTACACCTGTTAAGGTGCGCTCTACTTAATTGACTCAGCAGAAGGTTTTTTGGAGGTCCAAGGATAAAGGTTGTCAAGGAATTTCTGTGAACAATAAACACTAGCATGACATGGACCAACAAATGAGTAATTTGTATTAAGAAATTTTACAAAAATCCCTGTAATAAAGTCTGTCTGTTGCGTGTAATCTTAGTTTGGAGTTGCACAAAATTCATATTTTCCATAAAAGGCCAATGAAAAAAATAATCGTTGCTATGAATGTTTCCTCATTGAATATATATAAAATGGCATTTTAAAGATTTAAGACATTAAATTAGATTTTCATATATTTACCTCAGGTTCAATTTTAGTAGGTAAAATTCTGCAATTTCTGTTAGTGTCTTATCTGGAAGTAATTCTAGTATGTTTACTATCTCCAAAAAGCATCCTGTTACCATTGGAGACCCTATAAATTCATATTTCATACTGCTTTAAAAAAAATCATTGCACACAATATCAGTGAAAATTCAAATAAAGAAAATAACAAAAATGTTAGCTGGTCAATTTTGTTACTATAGAATTTGCAATTAGATCTTGAACAGACTCACTCCAAAGGAAGGGGTATACTGATTAACCTCTGTCAATCTGCTTGTAACACATATTTGTCACATTTTTCTCAGTGACTACAAGTACCAGATATATCAGTATAATCAAAGCATTGTTGGTGCTGTGATCCAGCCATTTTTTAGCTACAGTTAGTCAGACATTTTTGTTATCTCATTTTCAATCATTTTTTCTTTATACAAGCATCTGTAAGACATTTCAAAAGAGACAACCATCACAACTTTGGATAAGTGATTTTAGCTCAAATGCTTTCATTTGTGTTCAAACACTTTTAACAGAGAAGAAACCAAAGGATTGAAAAAAAACAGACAACACAAGGATTGACATGTAAAACATGTCATCATTTTCATTATTATTTCACTAAAAAATTACAAGTGTTATTTTTACTTTTTAAAATCGCCCCTTTCAGCTCATGAAATTCTCAGAAAAAAAATGTACTTCTTCAATGGTCCTTCTGACAATCAAAGTAATCGAAACCACTGATGGAAAGACTGGAAGAGTTGTGTGCATAATTTCAAATCATATTCTCAGGTATCGTGGTGAACAAAACCGAACTTGATATATCTTCTACTTCTCTTCGTAGATTCCTCCGTTATTGGAGAACCTGTGTCCCATGGTTTTAGAAGCCCTTAATTTTACTAGATTAAGAATTAAAATTCTATAACAAAAATAGTTATATAATATTATTGTCCTAAAAATATACAGAGATGTAAAAACCATAATTGAATTCTATTTACACCTATTAGTGCAAGTGAATTATTTACATAACGCATATATATATACATATAGAATCACGGTTTAATCCATGCATACCTTATGAGATAAGAGTTTAAAAACTTAGAAAACTTGGAGTTTGTTTATCTATTTCCTTTAATCATTGTCTGGTACTTGATGGAGGTATAGGTTTATCATTATACACAATTGTTAGCTTGTGAGCAATAAAACCTCCCCTTACCTTGGACAGTGGTGTAACAACAAAACATTAAAACAAACTGTAAAAATTTTTTGCAAAGGGCAATCTACTCATCAGATCAGTACTAAGCATTTTTGTACACATGCACGAAGACGAACTAAGTTTTTGACAATAATTTTTTATGTAGGATTTTATTTTGTGTATGGGACACACACTAAGTATAATGGGTAATTTATTATGTCACGTTCATCTTCCAGGAATTTATCATGCCAAGTTATATGAGTGAACTTCAATGAGTTTTAGAGTTAATAGGGCAGAAACAATTTGTGATGGACAGATGCACACATGGACAAGCTGATAACTATTTACTTTTACCATGATATCTGGGCACTCTGGCTTCCTTCACCGATAAAAATTGGCTGCCAAGTGTGCTGAAGGTGGCTTAAACACCATCAATAAATTAATCAAATAATACACCCATTTTTTTAAAGAATTTCATTTTAAATACTATGTCTTTCTTCTGGAATTTACTTCAAAAACATACTGGACATTTTTACTGTCCTTGTAATTAGTTGAAAACATTTTAAATAGATCAATTCATAATTTATAACCACAAAGTTTCTCCAAGAAGGTATACCGTAAATTAACTACGTTGTGACATAGTTAAAAACTCATTGATTATCGTCTGAAGGTTACAACTGGTATACACTCGTAATTGAGGCCAAAAATAAAATATTGTTTGTTTCCCCTCCCACAACCGACCCGGTAAAATCACCGCGACTCGAAAAATTTTATTGGCAATTCTTGTCCAAAATTTTTTTTTCGCTATGTTGGTTTTTGGTGATATCTTTCAGACGCTGTAGTCAACGAGCATTGGTTTTCTGTGATACCTTTCCGATGCTGTAGTCAATGCGTTTTAAATCAAGGCATTTTTGCATTGAAGCGTCTATATGGCATGAAATTTACAAAAGGGCACGTTTTAACGTTATAACTGCATCAGTTGAATTTGTAAATACTTAAAGTATTCTAGGAACAACAAAACATGAATAAGTGAAGCCTTGTTTTTTCTAGAACTCAAAAAAACATACAAATCTTTTGTTTAGGAAATAATTGACCGAGCTGCATGATCCGAGTGTAACTGAACATAACTGAATTATGTTCACTTCTATTGAAAATTTTTATTCATTGAATTTTAATTCCCAAGTGATTAACATATCTTTTTGTCATCTCATAATTGATGATCAAGGTATGAATTGGTGAACAAAGGAATTGTTTTGTTGTGAGTTATGCATCAAATTAGACTTGAAATAAGCTTGATTTTTAACTAATAAAACACTTGCTATCATTAAACATTGTTATCACATGTAGAATGTGCACTTTTGTAGATTTCATACCATAAAATGAATAGGAAAAAAGGAGGTCCCTGTATACTGATTTTAACACCAGAAAACTGGGGTGTACACTGAATACAGGGAATACCCCACTTTTCTTGACTTGAGCCTTACCTGTTGAATTTTGTACAAATTCAATATAGAATCAAAGCACCAAGGGCACTATAGGCGCTTTAGGCAGTTAATTATAAAACCAAAGGCAAACTTGGCAGATGTTAAAAGATGAATATTGTGGAAGAATTGGTGAAAATGTTTATCTCAGCTATTTCTCAAGTATCAAATAATGTTTGTATTGTAATGTTTCTGCTATCCAATCCTACCACTTGCGAAAGTTATTTCCAATTTATTTTTTAAAGATTCAATGTCTGAGATTATGCACATACGCTGTTCCATATTAGGGGAGAGTTTTGTGCCAGCTAACATGTTTAACCCGCCACATTCTGTATGCACCTGTCCATAGTGAGGACCCAGGAGTTTGGTGATTGTTGATTGTTGCTGTATATACATGTATATCATATTTAATTTTCATAATTGCTTTGTACATTAATCAGGCTGCTTTAGTTTTATTGTTTTACATTGTCATTTCGAGGTCGTTTAAAGCTTACTATGCAGTATATATACATGTAGGTTTTGCTTATTGTTGCGGTCTGCATGGAGGAATATTCTTATCAGAATAATAATTTCAATAATGGTGTCCAACAGTGGTGTATGGTTTAATTCCAGTATGTACATATTAGTGGTTTTAGTTGGATCAGCTGATGCCACTATGCACAATTATCTAATCATACCTGAAACTATCTGAATTGGTGTAATTTACAATAAATGCTGATGTTGTTATAATGGCCTAGCAATGATGCAACATATATTTTTGAAGGCTGTACGGTTGCCTATAATTGCTTACATCCAAGTAATTTGAATTTTTGTGGATAGTTGTCTAATTGGCAATCATACCACATCTTCTTATTTTTATAATATTTGTACTTGTCTAATCTATAATAAGCTGTGAACACAGAGACATATTTTGCCTATTTGTTATTTTGATAATGCAAATGTTACAATTATAATAGAAATACATTAACATGGAAGCAATATTCAAAGACAATGAACCATGACTGATGGTACAGTGTTTATCAATTTCCATGGAAATGAGATGTGCCAATGCTTATACAACTGCTTACCAAATACCATTGACTTTTCATAAGTCGTTCCCTTTAAACAAACCTTAACACAAATACATAATATCCATGGAAATGAAACTTTTAAATACCAATACATTCTCATACCAAATAGCTTTGACTTAAGATTACTGGTAATCTTAAACTGGCATAATCATTATAATCACAAACTAATTCATGTAAACTAAGTAAATGTTTCAAAGTCAATAGATCATGCATATGACTGAGGGGTAAGGACCAAATATCCTCTATGGAAATGAGACGTACTAATGCTTCTACATCTGCAGGCCAATTATCATTAACCTTCCACTATTGGTTTCCCTAATACTAACCTAATCAAAAGCTAATAAATGAAATTTCAAAATAACGTATGTTTCCAAGTAAAAAGAGCATGATTGAGGGCGCGGGGCCAAATAATCTCAATGGAAATTAGAAATGACAAAGTTTATACAACTACACACCAAATATCATTGACCTACCACTAGTGGTTCCCCCTAAACTGACCTAATCACAAACTTATACATGTAAGTAAAACTATGCAAAGTTTCAAAGTCAATAGACCATGACTAAGGGGGTGGGGCCAAATATTCTCCATGGTACTGTAATGAGATGTGCCTACATGTATACTAACACAACTGCTTACCAAATATCATTGACCTACCATAAACTAAGACCTTATCACAAAATCACAAACTAATACATTGTTGATGCTGCCAAAACAGCATGCCTATATATATATAAAATTGAGAATGGAAATGGGGAATGTGTCAAAGAGACAACGACCCGACCATAGAGCAGACAACAGCCGAAGGCCACCAATGGGTCTTCAATGCAGCGAGAAACTCCCGCATCCGGAGGCGTCATTCAGCTGGCCCCTAAACAAATATGTATACTAGTTCAGTGATATTGGACGTCATACTAAACTCCAAATTATACACAGGAAACTAAAATTTAAAATGATACAAGACTAACAAAGGCCAGAGGCTCCTGATATATATATATTTGCCTTCGTGTTTATATGATCCGTTCATCCTATTTTGACTCTTTCAAAATTCAAGAGTCTATCCTAAATTGAGTTAAATTATATGGCCTTCCAAATACCGTTTAGATTCCTAACATCACTGAAGAGACATTAATTGTCAAAATCCGGATATGGTGTACAAATTTTTGCACCTCATGTTTGCGGTATACCATCTTTTCCGCAAGTTTATTAGTTTTCTGTTTGGTAATAAATTAATAATAAGATCTATTTTGTTAAATCTTGTGATCTGTTTATTTGGCAATCGCCAATGGCAGTCAGCAGGGTTTAAGAACATTAGTTGTTCGACCTGCTAGTCAAATGAGTTTTGTTAAAATATACTTTTTCACTCATTTGGTCTTTTGAAAAATGTTGTTTGTGCTATATTTAAACCCCTCTACCAAGAAATTTATTTTGCATGCACACGTATAAAAATTGCGGTTTTTATCCAATGCAATCATAGGTTTGAATGTTGTTTTAAATTTCGACTTGTATATATATATATATATATATATGTCTCTCTGTTTGACTCTGTCAAGGCAAGACAAAAATCGCAACAAATTTAATACAAATATTTTGTCCATCTTTTTTTAATATTTTCATATTCTTCATTTCTTAGATATATATATCAATGCTGCGTTCGCACATAATTCGATTTTGATTTGCATTAACTGATTTAACATGTTTAATGTCCAAAAGTAAATTCTACTTCGAATTGCAATACGCATCAATATCGCATTACTGTCCAAATGATGTTAACTTTTAATTCAATTTATCAATTAATTTATTATAGTTTAATTCAAATTACAATTTAAAAAGTGTCCACACCAGAGTTTAATCGAATTTAATTTAATGAAATTAAATTAATTCGTAGTTAACAAAAAACGTTTTTCTAATGAGAATTCGATAATGCAAATTAGCCAATTTGAATTAGATTTGAATTAAAAAAAGAAGAGTGTGTGAACGCGATTAGTGAATTCGATTCCCATTAGACTTTGAATTCAATTCGAAATAAAAAAAAAAGAAGATTGTGTGAACTGGGTTTGCATTCAATTCAAATTAAACTTACGTGTGAACAAGGCATTAAACAAGTGACAAATATGCATTCAGTAAATAATAAAATTGAAAAGAATCCACAATCAAAATACTGCTGTGTAATTATGGTAATAAGTAATTCTCCTTGGTACAATTTAACCTTACTCTTGGACTGTTAATTAGAATATAAATTAAACTAAAATATTTCATGTGTACAATATGCATCAATATCATGAATTCCAACTATCTTTATATAATTTCATGCAAAAAGTTTCTGATAACTTGGCATACTTCTTAGTGCACAATAATATATCTCCTTTTGTAGTAACAGTTACACAGATTCTGACATATCATGATCATAGTTCTGAAAGTATTGTTAAACAGTCTCTAAAAATTGCTAGACCGATAGGCACACTTAATAATAATAACAAATAATATTCATGTGTTGTAACTGCTGGCAAGTTTAAAATAATTACTGTCAGAAAGCTGAACCAAAACTTGTCGGAATAGTCAACACATGAGACCTGGCATAAACAATCTTCAAAATTGATTATATATCGGTATGTAGATATACATGTAAATATCTTCATAACATCCTAGTAGTCTAGAGTTTCATTTCTATTATGGAATTATTGTGGTGAATAGACAATCCAGTTGCTACAGAGAATCATGTATTGTACATGTATGCCTTGCCTCTTCTAGTATTAGCCATTCCCAAAGATTGGAATAAAGCTGAAATAAAAACAAATACAAATAAATAAATAATACTCAAAATTGACATCAACACTTCAAATGGTCTGCAATTTTATTTGCTATGGTCTACATGTTTCACCTGCAGGGCAGGCGTCAGGTGAAACATGTAGACCATAGCAAATAAAATTGCAGACCATTTGAAGTGCTGTTGTCAATTTTGAGTATTATTTAAATGGTGCATTCATTTGCATAATTTGACAACCCCGCATACCAAGGTATCCACTTCAGGGACTCTATCGAAATGATTCACACAGGCGTTGGTTCACCAAACGGAATTTAATTTAAAATAAATAAATAATGTTTAAACTTGTTGAAAACATTAAGACTAAGTCTAAAGTACAACGTTTGTATACCTTGCCTACTCTAAATAAAGCTTATTTATTATTTATTTACAACGTTACCTCTTTTCGTATCATTTCAGTATTTTCATGGAAAAGTCCTTAACCAGCATCAAGTTGTACGATACGCGCGTCTGGCGTATTAAATTACAATGGTACCTTTGATAACTATTTGCTGAAAGATGCATCGAAATGATTCTAGAACACTTTACGAGTGTTTAAATATGAAAAAATCACAAGAAGAATTACCGGAAATATGAAAAATCATTGTAAATCAAAAACAATTACGGTGTGAGACGCGTCACAAATTCGTACTTAATATTTTACAAAAATATGTGATTTTGGAAGTTAAATAATGCCGTCCTATAGCAAATTATTGATAAAGTATTAATCTAAATATTGTTTGAAGCACTGAAACCATCTTGAAATGACCTTGACATCGACCAATCAGATCTCTAATTTGATTTCATTCATGAATAACAACAACTTGTTTTGACAAGCATGAAGATCAGTTACGAGATAAACAGAATAATATTAACAAGAATTACATAAATGAGCATACATTTAATTAAGATGATTTTAATAATCACACTCATCTCAAATAAAATTATTTATAATAATTACCTTTGTATTATCAGAATCCACCAAATTTAAAACGTCCTTGATTTACGTATTGTCGACGAAGTTAAAATTACCGCCAACTGAGACTTCAACTCGTGTCATATAAGTCCCAGCCGTTATACAATATTCCTGCGCTTTTTGCCATTTGTCAAATGTAAACGACTTGTAATTAGAGATTTTCGGCGATGAAATATATCATGCAATTGTTCTTTGACATCTTAGCCAAAAGCACAGGGGATAATAAACTTCATAAGGATTTCTATTGAGCACTTCTTCCTATGTGCAACTTCAAAACTTTTGGGTGGTTCGACGATCATTTCAGGTTTTTCTGCTCATATTTTTTGTAATCCAGAATTAAAAGTATGAAAAAAGTGTTTAATTAGTTATAAATAACATAATAGCCAGCTAGATAATAACAATGGCACGTATTTCAGCATTTATTGGGTAGAACACAAATCTAGGGTGCTCGCATAAAGCAGCTTAACTGCTTAAAAACCATATCAAGAAATAAAATAAAATAATTTGCCTACCTACCTACCCATACCCTGACAACCTCAGTCGGGGGAGGGGTAACAAAAATATTTTTAATGTTGGCCTGACCTTAATGACCTGTACCAAGTTAAGTATATAAATGCTGTCTGTAATTAAGTGGCTGGTGGTGCTATAACAGAAACAAAATGCCTGACTGAAAACGAATAATTTCAACAGAGAAAACTGACAAATATAAAAGAAATATAAAATTTATTACAAAAAAATGAAATAATATAGTATTGCCCTTGGGAGATCATCTCAGCTAATTTTGAAAATATTTTAGCTAATTTTGAAAATATTTTTCCGTCGAATTCCCGGAATCCTGAGCTGTTATAAAGCGTAGTTTGCGAGAACTATTGATGCTTGCGAAACAGTGGTTGACAGGAAATTCGACGTGACCTGTCCTATCAACTGTAGTATAACTATAATGAAATGCGAGTTGTAAGTTGATAGAACTTGGGGGATAAAAAATTGTCATTTAAAAGACTGACCAGTGATAAAAAATGCAATGAATGGCAGTGCAGAGGTATTGCTGCGTTGCTGAGATCTCCCCGTCACATGCGGAATGAAGGCTGGCTAACAGGGGACAGGCTGGTGGGAATATTTTTGGTTAGACAAGAACTGCAAACTAAACTGATCGAAACAAGAAGACAGCGTTATCTATCAAAATAATTTCAATAATAATTATTTTAACGGCTATGATCTGACCACTATCTGACTGCTAAGCTATAAATTCTCGACGAGACACAGAAACAAAAACAAGCACCCGAAAGTCGTTATGGTCATTAAGAGAAGAACTTCTCAAACGAGCAATAAAATGCAGCTGTCGAAACAATTATAAACCTAATTATATGCTATATATTCAAATAATTTAACATGAATATGTGTTATCAAGTTTTGAGTTGATGTGACCACAACTTCATGGTAAATTACCTTGAATAAAACTTGATATGGGAAGGACAGACTAACCAACAAATGCACAGGACAGAAAACATACTATGGTAAAGGGGGATATAAAAAAAAAATGGAGCTGTGGACCTTTAATAACTTACACTGGACATTGAAGTTGCTAAAAAATCATTAAAGTTAGGAGTCACATTATAATTATATGAAAATACCTTCTGCTGGTTCATTCTTAATACAAATGATGTTGTTCTCAATTTCCTCTTTATTTTTATCTATATCAACGTTTGGCTTCTTTCTCTGGTACTACAGTGAAAATATATTTATGCGAGAGCAAAAGGGGTAAATAAAAATTATTATAATGTTGCATCAAGTTTCACAAAATATTATGAATAGGTTCTGATATAAGACTGCGGTTTTTGGCATTGCTAAATGTATCTAATATTCGATGAAAAATATTACTATTTGTAAATTAATTTCAAATCAACTATAACCAATAACCACATAATAAAGACAAAAAATACAAGACTGCATTACAGCAGCCAAATGTTCTCTGCTGTGTACATTTGAAAAAGACTTAAAATTGATACTTGTGACAGTAATAACTCCTAATACCTGAATCTTGAAGAATGAAGACTTAATCTAGTTTATTACTAATAAATTATCAAACATCTTACCAAATATGAGTTACTGGAACAAAATACTTCAGAGGATTTGAGAGAAATCACAATAAGTTAAAGGGACATAACTCAATAAAACAATCATATATTGAAAAGGACAGTGTCTGATCTGTGATTCATGTTAAATTTATTCACAATTCTTCCAGACTCTCATGAGCAATCTAAGAGCTTGCCATATTGTATAGTCAGTCTATTGTTCACAGCCATGTGTTAACCTTTAGATATCTTTTGGTTATTTGTGTCATTAGGTTGCAATTTCATAAATAACAAAATAAAATACTACTGTAACAGGTGAGTTGCATTTACATCTGGCTGTGTACTGAATCACATTACATTTTTGTGTTTAAGCATCTCTTACTTATTCAGACTCAACTGATTGACTGCAAATAATTAGCACCATTGTCCTACTGTGCAAGTTTCAGTGGTATCAATATATGGAATGGTTTGATGTAATTATCAATGATATCATAATTCAATTCCAAAAGTACTTCTTTACAATGGTGCATACTTTCTTTATTTGTGTTTTACTATAAGATCATATAAGAAAATTGTAACTGAGGACATCATGATGTATACCTTATCAACATGGATACTGCTGCTCAGTAAATTTTCAACAGGTCTACCTAAAACATTCTCAACAGGTTCTCTCGTCAAGAAAATTAGTTCTCCTTTGCTCAAAACAGTCATTTCAGGGTATTCTAAAATGATATAATATAGGAGCACAATAATCATTCACAGATTTCAAGCAATTTAAAGGGACATGCATACTCCTCATAAATTTTCAAACTCTTTTGCCTGGAAGTTGCAGAGCAGGATTTAAAAAATAATTTGACCCAACTGGACATTTTTTGCAATACTGTTTGTTTTAAATTCTTTTGCTTTTATAAATTAAGGCATTCCAGCTAATCAAGGAAGCCATGAGTGATCAAGGGCAAGTAATTTTGTAACAACACATGACAAAGATTAGTTCATACTTTTATATGTGTTCTGTTAAATGACAATGTATCCCGGGGCTAACCCCCCCCCCCCCCCCCCCCCCACTTAAGTAACATATATTAACTTCATTAAATGGATTGTTTGGTCAATATTAAACAATCAGCTATATGTGACCTAGGTTTCCCTAATATTCCCTCCCCCTTTTTCAACTCTTGAATATGATTTATTTTTGTTTTTTTTTACAAAATTATATTAAAATATTCATATTTTTATTTTCAAATAACATCTTGCACTGTTAGTATATGCTAGTATTTTATTACAATCCCATTATCATCAGATATTCTATTTGAATAAACAACTATCCCCCCTTTTTTGGGGCTTTCTGTATTATTTCTGTTTTTCCCTACAAAGTTATGTCAGAAAATACACATGCATTATCTGTAACTTCAACTTACTGTACTGCAGGTGTGAGAAATTATTCCATTTAGCCCAAATTAAACTTTATAATTGACATAAATACAGTTTTTCACTAGCAAGTATTTACACACAATTTGGAGCCAAAATGCACATTTGAAAATGATCAAATAACCTTCAAATAAAGGTTTACTATCAAGCTGAAAACACAGCCAGATCCAAGCATTTTTATAACAAAGATTAAAACCAAAACTGCTATCAAACTGCTATTGAACTGCTGTCATAACTGTTGTCCAATTGACAAATTGACAACAGTTTAGAAGGTAGATCCAGACTGCTAAGATGAATGCTAAGAGGAATGCTAAGAAATGGTGAAATAAGGCAGTTTCTCAAACTGCTATTAGATGGAATGCTATGAACAGCTGAAAGACTGCTAAATATATGAAGAACTGGTAAATAACAGCTAATAAACTGCTAATGATCATGATAGCAGTTCAGTTTGACTTGGGCAATCCTGTATGGCTGTAAAGTTTCAAAACAAATTGGTTTTGTAGTTTCAAGGAAGATTTTTTAAATTAGGCAATCAGTATCAAAGATTGCCTCATGTTGCCATATTTTTCATCCTATACAAACCAAAATAGGACCTTCCATATATAGTTCCTGTCAAGTTCAACTGAAATTGGCAAAGTACATGTAGTTTCAAGTAGAAATGAAATGTGAAAGGGACAATGACATATGTCAAGTAAGCTAGTACAATAGTTTGCGATTAATCAAAGTAGAAAGTATGACACTAAATAAAAAGATCTTTATATAATGAACAATAAAATCAATATCCTTTGGTCATCTATTTTTGTAAAGTTAAGAGTATTTTTTCACTAAATAGTATGAAATATATCATAAAGACCTACCCATTTCTGAAAACTGATCAACAGCTTTTACTTTTCTCATATTCTGGTGTGGATCAAATCTAATAAAAGAAACCATATTTTTGAAAGCTACACCAGCTTTACACAACTGTATTCATCAATGCAATTTTCAAACATTTTATTCAACATGCATGGATATTTCAATCTACTTTCTTATGTGTAGTAATTTGTTCTAACGGTAACTGATAATCTTTACTTTTAAGAAAAGTAAGCTTCATTCAATGTCTAACATTTTTGTAAGTAATATCTCATGTAAGTAATATCTCATGTTAGCTATATCTCATGTTCCTCCATTCAAATATGAAAATGCTGAATTAGTGACAATGATAAACATTTACAGTAATTCACAAGTAAAAAATATAAAACTATTTCATAATGGTTTAAACATTCTCTATACAAAAAGCTTACCCTGGAGTACCTGTCATGGCTGTAAAGTTATCTTCTATTAAAATTTTATGCAGAATACCCAGCTTCTTATGGTAGAAGAGAGTCTGAAATATTGAAGGCAACTAAAATAACATATACCAATAAACAGCTATACCATGAGAACTCCATGAACCTGTAATAAAACTAGAGGTACATCTATCAAAGATCATAAATTGATACCACCCTGTATTCACCTTTATATAAAAAGTATTAACCTTGATCTTGCAGACACAAATTTCAATCTTAAATTCCTCACATACCTTCTGGTATTGGACAACTATCGTGCCAAGTATTGTCAGACTTATCTAGGCATTGAAAAGTTGAAAACTAGTATCCATACTATCCTTCAAGGCATTCAAAAGTCCCAAGTTGGATACGACATACTAAGTATACTATATTTCAATATGTTAATGTTAGGTTAACAATGTCAGTGACATACAATAACCAAAAAAATATATGAAATTTTCTGACTTGGCTCACAGACCCCTGTCATGTTGCCAAAAGTTGGTTAACTGGAACAAAATGAAATCTTGATCAGTAAGTCAACATTATACTCTAGTAAACCAAAAATCAGATCAAAATCTGCATGGATAATGAAGAGTCCTCACAACTGTTCAATTTCAGAATGATTGAAATTGGTAACACTACTTGCCTGGCCACTTCATAACAGGCACATACAAATCAGCTCAACATTATTTATATTATTGTCTATAAAATTTAAATACTCGGATTAACAGAGATGAAAGTATCTGAGCAGTGTTTTTAAGCCTTTAGAAGTTTTAAGAGTTAATATGTTCTTCTAGATCTGGTACAGCATTTTGGAGGGTCAAATGATTTTTTTAGTCACACTATGTGGAATATTGTTGTCCTTCAGTAACATCTACTTGTATGCATGTACATGGGCCTTCAACATTTAGTGCACAAACATCTGTATTATTTGATTTTCTTCATTTTACTAGTAAATAAGCTTATGATGATGTCTTATCGTGCTGGAAATAATATGGAGTTGTTTTTATTTTTTAGGAAAGATGAAGGGGGAGGGAGGGAGATGTTCATAATCATGATGGCCTTATTGATAACATTTTTGGGGGCTAAAAGGCATCTATAAGCGGGGATCCTGTGTAACAAGGCAGCGCTTTAACCAACTGAGCTAAAGAAGTACTTCCCTAGCTCAACTGCTTACGGCTGGATAAGTATATATATATATATCTCTTACATGTACTAAGGGAAGCAATTCCATCACACTTCCCCCACCTCAATTCATCATACCATTATGACTCAAACAACACATTCCCTGGCTAGAAATCCTCTCTAACCACCTTGGGTTTTTAGTTGGTCAATGTAACAGGAGAGCATGATTCTCCTTACAAAATCACTTTGTCCCCCCAGGACTCAAAACCCAGAGCCTCAGTATTTACAAGGCACCCCTTTAACTGACTGAGCTAAAGAAGTACTTAGTAGTGCAATAATAATTAATTCATTTTTACACAATTGAGAAAAATAAGTCATTATACTTCACATGCTTGAGGTTTACTTTTTTAAAATTACTCTTGGTTTCTTTGTTTAATTCATTCAATGTTATCAATTTTTAATTATTATAATGTATGTCATGTGTTTGTGTTTATTTTGTCATCTTCTGCAGACTTGAAAAAAAGGCACATCAAAACCAGATCAAAATCCAGGCAAGTTTTCATTTTCTAAAACATATAATACCTATCCCTTTCTAATAACCTAGGTCCAGCCATGCTTAAAATTTCTTGGATCCACTGGTTTGTCTGTACTCAAAGTAGACTTTGTGGTGTCAACATTGTCAAAAATGCATGTAATGATGTACATGTCTTATGTCACATTGCATATGATACAGAAAGAATGGCATCATTTACATCAATTGACCTCTGGTCAATCAGTGCAACTCATTCATAAATAAAAAACTGGAGATTTGTTTTTTTTTTAATAGGTCCCTTCATGGTTAATGCAGCCATATTTAATAAGGGGCAGATTTTTTGGATAGAGGTGGAAATATAGTATGAAAGTATGGCCTATGGGAAATCCTATGCATGCACAGCACATGTTTCCTGTGAAGCAACTGTTCTGTTTCAATGATGTTTTCCCATATTTTTCAAACCATTAGCACCTCCATTATAAAAATCTGCCCCCTATTCAATATGGCTGCTAAACCGTGCAAGGGTCTATTCTTTTTGTTGAAACTTAAGCACAAATGACCAAATCCATCTCTTTACCCATACTTCCATGTCACAAGTGGAGTTACTTACTCTAATAAAATTGTATGGGTTTTACAGAGTACATATATGATCATGCTTCATAATAGCTGCAGAACCATAGCTCTTAGGTCTTTATGATATTTTTTTGACAATTTTCAGACCTTCAATATATCAAAAAGGTCCTATAACTAGTATAAGAGCTACGGTTACACAGCTACTGAGCTAGCTTTATAATGCCTTCGAATGCCTGTTTTGAAATGTTGCATTAAAGCCAGCACTGATTACTACGTGTACATACAGAGCCTACAGATATTTAGTTTACATGTACATAAATGAAGGATTTCCTGATTTTGCTGCTTTTAGAGAGTCTAGATCTTCGGCTGTTCGGAGTTGAACTTGAAGTTATCTCTCATGGGAATACCCCATTATGACCCATAAATCGGGAAAGTTGGCAGGTCTGCAATACAATATCATTGTTTCATAACATAAGACCCCAAAAAGTTCGGCATAGACACTCATTTCGTTTCATAGGCTAGCATTTTCTAACTGTTGCAGATGCTGTGCAGACTGGACCGTGGAGACTCCCGCCAAAAATGTATATTCGACCCCCGTTATTTATATCTTCCTCCAACAGTTGGTACACTAATTCAGCTAAAATAGGGTTACCATTATTAAACATGTAATACTTTAATGATTACTAAAATCCGATGCACAAAAACTTTCCATTACAAATATATTTTTGAATATATATTCTGGTGCCTTATTTAAAAGTTAAAAACTATCTACACAGAGGTCAAATGTGTTCCACACATCAAATAATTACGCTATATATGAAATTTCATCTAAAACTTTTTTTTAATGCCCTTTACTTATTTCTTGTCCGATTTGAATGAATTTTATACCATTGAATACAGACGTATCAGCAGTTTTTTTCAAACGTTTTGAAATGTTTGTTTGGGGTTTACTTTTAAACGAAAATCACGGTTTAAAGACCATAGCTTATCGTCAAATATTATATGTAGGTATATATAATTCCGAACACTGGGCCTGGCATCTACTAGTGACTTTTCTGTTAGGTGAATTTTACCAAAAAACTTCGTCTTTTTGCCTTATTATAACCAGGGACTTTCTATAGTAGAAAGTCCCTGTTATAACCTGTGACTATTAATAGTCCCAGTTATAACACAATTTATTTCCATGTGTTGGCGGGGAACAAATTTCAATTTTTGTATTAAACTTATGATTTTTCAGCAATGGCATGTCATAAAAATGTTTCATATAATAACCATAAAAAAATTGCAAACCGATCGATGAGTTTAACCTGGGACTATTATACTAAAAATAATCTTAAAGGTTTTATGAAATGGATAAAAGGGGGCATACCCAAGAATGAAGGACACTAATGGCCGATTACACTTATCAACGACACCCGGGGTGCAATGTTTTTAATGATATTCGATTAACATAGAAAGTAATGGGAAAATAAATGGGTACCCTTCATTAATTCTTCATATTATTTTTATTAATCATCTGAATTCTTATTAACACATACGACCGAATTCACCATAGATTTACCTTTCTGGTGGTATTAAAAAATCCAGTTTATCTTATCTTATTGTTAGGTCTCCGATTTTTTGAAATTTCATTATCTAAATTCCCTTACTCACATCAGTAAATATCGATGAATTACCTCTAAAGAAACGAGACAGCAGTAACTAAAAAAATTGAAGCACAATTAATATGCGGAGGAAATACTATTAACACATACTGTTGAATACTCCTGTCAATAGGCTATATTTTGATGTCAGAAAAGTCAGTTTGAATTAAGAAATTCTTAGGTCTCCGGCGTTTTGAAAAGTTGTCTTTGAAAAAAATAACCAACACAAATGTTACATACGAAAACAACGTACATTAGCGAGATCATACTGTTATACATGTAAACTAAATTCCGGTTATTCTTAAATAAATGAAATAATACATAATAAGTTCAAATTCAAAGAGTTCACTGTGGCTATTTTTTATTGTTCAAAAAGAAACGATAAATATTGAATACAAAATAAAATTATATTTAATTATACTAAATTGTATTCGTCGGGATAGCTCATCTGTTCAAAGGACATAATGGAGTTTTACTATAAGGGTTCCTGTTCATGATAGTTCATAGTTCGTATAATTTCATATAATAGAGACTATAAAGATATTTTTTATTCATATTTTGGTGAAACGTATTTAATGATAAATGATAAAGTATACATGTACATTAAAATAATAAAGTATACATTTACATTTAAATAATAATAAACGATTCGCTGTTTAATAATTTTTTCACCCGTAAAACATTTTCCATCATTTGTATTTCGATAATATTTAAAGAAAATGAAAAGGTGGTATATTAAAAAAGTTCGAAATTGATATATTGTCAAATGAATTTTATTATCAGCAGGCACCCTGTCGCTTGATTGTCTTTCCTATCTCCAATTACGATGTCTTATATATGCTCAACAGGATGCCACTGTTAGTTTTATTAAATTGAATCTGATACAATACAACTTGTGTTAATTGGTAACATATGAACATGTAATGAATGTATGCACGGATTGTTGTGGAAGTATCATCCTGTAATGACATTACATCAATGTGGTGGAACTATTAAAACAAATTTGAGAACTCGAAAACTAATGCAAAAAATATTTCAAATCACTATTTTTTTAGGGAATCGTGTTCCTCGCTCTTTAGTTTGACCATGGAAGTAAATTGATTAGTGTCATCTATGTATAGATAGTTCAATTTGCTGCTTTTTTTTATTTCTTCTTTTAATTTGTCATTTTCTATATATATGTTTT